ACTGAATTCACGATTTGGGGTTTTTTTATCAATAATTTTAACAGTCAGTTCATCAACTTTTACTTGAATATGTAGTGAACGATGACTCAGTTGTGGACTAATTTATTAGTTAATACAAAATTAAAGATCATCTTCGTAAAATACGAAAACTCTACATTAAATACTCTATTCATATATGTTTCACCAATTATCTCTTACAAACTTAATCGTTTCTCCATTCTTGTTGTTGCTATAATTACCCACCGTTTACATTTCTGCTCTTTTCAATTCGATCTTCTCCATCTTTGCTGTCAGGTATTCCACTTCTGACTAGTGTTACATACTACTTATATCTGTTGACATAAGTAGCGAATACCACATGTATACCAACGAGTTATGACTGGTTACTTTAGGCTTCAAATAAGCAATGTGCTTTTATACATATCTGATCTTACGTACTTGCAAACACATATCCATAGTAAAGCTGAATATCGTTCTATTGTTTAACGTCTAAACTTTTGATTTTACATTACGATTTATAATAACTATATCAAAAAACATTAAGTAGATTAACGATATTCAATGTCTTGATGATATTCTCCAGATGTTTTTTTTGTAGAGGTACCATGAAATCAATATCAAAAAACAAACTAATTTGGAAACGGAAATTCGTAAATGAATTTGTCATCTAATATACCAAGTTACTTTACTAAAAGCATTATTTATTCAAGGATCTTGTAGTTTCGAATGAACTTAATATAATAACCAGTGACCAGTAGAGTTCAACCGTGTCTGTTGTGAGTTAGTAACTCACTAAAAACAATAGTGGACAGTGGTGCAATTTCATAGATTAGTTGAAGTTAGACTGGCCAGCTCACTGATATAGAGGTTAAACGTTCGCGTACGAGACTGATAGATCCTGAGTTCGAATCTGGCGAGGTGGGGATTGCAGATGCCTACTGTCGAGGACTCCCATACTAGAACGGAACAACCGTCCAGTGTTTCCAGGTTTTCCAAGGATTCAATTATTAAATAATAACAATAATTTTATTTCAAATAACTCATATCTCTTAAAAAGTTCTTGGAATATCCTGATTCACAAATTGAAAAGTTGAACTTTAAATAAATCCTACCTTGAATATATTAGATATCATATGTATGTTAAGAAAAACAACACTTGGACACTAAAATACTTCTTTTTTTAAATATATTTTTCTAACGTTTAATAAATGTTAGTTAAGTATGCGTATAATCTATGTGTGTTTAGTTGGTTTTCTCTTGTTTACATATTTTAATGTTTATTCCTTTTTTCTTTTAGTTAATGTATATTATTTTAAATGGCATGAAATAATGAATTTTCTATCATTTTCACTACTTCAAAGAGTTTTGTTTAACTAAAAAAAATAAAAACTTTCAAAATATTTTTCGTGTATATTAGGGATAAAGTACAATATTCCAATTGAAGTAAACATTGAAGGTATTCAATAAATATGTATATATATATAAATTTAAATTTTGAACTTTTATAAATAATGATACTGAAGGAAAATTATTTAATAAACTGAACTTGAATATCAAATATGCGATATAGATCAATTATTTTCAACTGAATTTAGAGATAATGGAACCCTTAAATGTTGAATAGTTTAATGAATTCAATTCACTGGTTTAATTCATGAGTCAATTGAAGCTAGACCACCATGGGAAACCTGGAAGCACTGGACGACCGTTTCGTTCTAGTATGTGACTCCTCAGCGGTGCGCATCCACGATCCCGCACCCTGCGTGATTCTAACCCAGAACGTATCAGTCTCGCGCCAGGCGCCTAACCAACTAGTGACTGACTTCAGGAGATTCTCCTGGAGTTCTAGTGAGAAGTCGTTACCAGTGGAGTTCAACCAGGTCTGTTGTGAGATAGGAACTCACTAAAGACAATGGTGTGCGGTGGCGCAACTTCGTGGATTTGTTGAAGTTAGACATTAACACCGTTGGATGCCAGCCGGCTCAGTGGTCTAGTTGGTTAGAGTCCCATACTAGGACGAAACGGCCGTCCAGTGCTTCCAGGTCTTCCATGGTGGTCTAGCTTCAATTGACTCATGATTTCAACCAATGAAATTTCTAAAAAAATCTCTACAAAACCCATTCTGATAAGAATTCAATTCAATTTATAATGTGTATATGTATATGTATAATTTTTGAAGAGATTTTCATAAATGATCATATTGAACAATGAAATAAAAATGAACAGATCAGATAGAAAAGAAAATTAAATAGTAGGTTTCATTTACTAAAATTTTAAAGAGTTGAGGAAACTTAATTATCTCCAAGATACAATTGACAATACATCGTAACTTATAAATTATCGATTACAAAAACTATGATTTGCCTTGTTCTAAATAATCATTTCAAATAATATTTGCATCATATTGTGCTCAACTTTAGAGTCGATGAAGTTTATATGAGTTACAATAAAATTTTCATGTTATGTATATGATTAAAGTTCTGTGAATTCTCAGTTGAAATGACAGTGCATTCCTATATATTGGTTTCACGAAGAAATAATGAAAAAAACTATCGCTCAAGGCTTTTGTTTGTCTTGATAATGAAAAATCAACGTGCCATCAATGGCTTACAGTTACTTTTCATCACTGGACAATGCTATAATAGAACTTTATGAGATGAATACTAAAAAGAAAATATGACTTCACCATGACAAATAAAAAGTAAAAATTCTGATTGGGAAATATCTGTTGAGATCTTCCAACGTAATAAACAGTTTAAATTCTTAAAAATCATAGCAAACAGAAAAAAGTATTGTATTACAGTTAACAAATGCGGCAGTTAGTTTGTTAATTAAATGTAATGCTATAAATAAATGAGTGTATAACGGATGTTTACAGGAATTTGATTAATTATTTAGTAACAAAATCTGTTATTGTTTAAAAGATTTAATAAAGCATCTTTGCAAAGATTAGCAATCGAACATCCTTCTTGAAATGTTTTTCTATAACCAATTAATAATTAATGATTGCTCGAATTGCATACGTACAAAACTAGTATTAGGGTACACAATTGCAAAGGATTAATTTTCAAACAAACAAATATCAGGGCAAAGTTATCTGCTGTCAAACGATGTCTTTTATGAGCTTAATATGATATTAACAACATTTTCTATTTATGTTTATTTGTAACAAATCATTTCTGTTTTATCCCCTATTTAGTTATGCAACTTATACTTAGAATTGTCAATATTGAAAAAATAAATCAGACACTAGAAAACGTTCACATATTTCAGATATCTTAAAATATCATTATTATTACTTACGACACGGTATTTAGTGTTTTGTTTTAAATAACTTGAACATGGAAATAAAGAGATAACAATTTGTTTAATTTCTTACTTGTATAGCAAACTAGATGTTTGTTAGCAACAATCTTTTTATTGATGAAATCTATATCTTTTGGAAATGCATCATAGAATATTTTACTAAGGAAACTGTAGCAGAAAATGTCAGTTTTTACCTAAACTTTTGAAACGTATCACTTGATTGAAATTGCTTACATGGAAACATAAAAATCAAAAAATATTTTAAATTTCTATATCTACTAGAAAGTTAGTCAATGAATGGTCTATAAAAAAATTTTTAGTACCAAAGTTTCCATAATTAAAAGGAAAAAAATTCATTAAAATTTATGTACTTTTATTAAATTATCATTCGATAATGCACTAAACAAAGTGACTACAAAATTCAATAAAGTACTAACAATAGTATCAACACAAATTATGATTAAAATTAAAGTGGAATGAATTTGAAGTAAATCCAACGTTTTACTTGACAATCTGGTTCAAGCATTTTCAAGAAATTATAATCAAACATCAAAATTATCAAAATTATACAAGTACATTCTTCCTCATAAATGTCTCATATCAACTCGGCCCCCCAAATACTGTGAATTAAATTTAGACGAAAGTTCTGATATATGTTATCAAAATTATTGAAAGTTAGAGTTTTAATTAAACTATTTCATCGTACATGTGTCAAAAGTTGAATAAATTAAATCCAACTTTATCATTCGACTTATATATCAAAACAAGCATAATGTGTTTATGGAGATATTTCAAAGACATTTTGCAAATCGATTACTCTCGAAATGTTTATTTCTTTAATTTAAGCTTATTCACTAGCATTTTCGATTGTTTATTAAGTCGTTGACGTATTTGGACTTGAAATGAGGTTACATTTCAAGGCTTCTTATTCAAGACAGTTTTGGTGAATGCATTAGCGTTTTAGTTTCTCTGTAAACATTATCTTTGAATCATATAGATACTGTACATTAATAATAACTTAATATCGCAATTTCTTCAAAAAACTAAATTACGTCAACTTAATAAATACGATATGAACGTTATTGATAATGAAACACATCTCTTTTCATTTATAACGTTAGTGCTAAATGAGTAACGAAGGAAGAAAGCACACAAATCACAAGCTAATTCTATACTGTTCTACACTATACATTTTAAATCATCAACTTATGATGTTTTATAAGAAAACGTGCTGGTAGAGTATTCTTTGTTGAATTTCAGATGCATTACAAAGTGAGATTTTGCTTAAAAAACAAACAAACATTAGAAATGTATAACCAACTTCACTAAGAACTGTGGTTAATATATCACTCTAATTAACAATTACCACTGATACCATGTTTTTAATTTTGTAGGCGATATTATTTATTGTCAAATCATTAGACACTTATTATACTTTAAAATACTGTTTAATAATACGAATGTAGATAAAATAAGTTCATTATAAAATTAAAGTATATATGCATAAACATTCATTATTAATGTTACCAAGCAACCAAATAAATGTTGTAACCATTGAAGTTTCTTGAAAAATATACATTTGTTCATTGTAAACAATCAACAATATGCAAGGTATTCTATCGGTTTTTTATCCGATAAATTCTGTATAGTATTTTAACATTTCGCTTAATTTTAATGTGTGTTTTTTTAATCAGATTTGAATATAATTATGGATGGGCACGGAGTAGAAAATTTCTAAAACAGCTGGTTAAAGACAATATTGATTTGTCTCTAGTGGAATATGAAATATTACGGCATACGAAAAATAAAAGGCCAAAAACGTAAGTTGTTTATTTGTTTGTGTGTAGATGTATATTAATGCTGGTTTTCATTGTTTAGTTTTGTTTTCACTATTATTTTAAATGGTGAAGATGAGCATTTTAAACACAACTTTCTACTTTAAACGATTTTGTTTCTCTCAACGGAAGTTTTATTCCTTATTTATATTAATGATCTGTTGAGCTGATACTGATACTGTAGTACTTAGATACTTTTCAAAATAATCGCGAATAAGTATTTAAAGTGATAAATATATCCATCTGTTATTATTAAGTAGGTTTAAGTGAGCATTATCTACTTTCAGAGATAAAGCCCATTGAGGATATAAGCCACTGACGTATTCATGCAAGTTGATTGTGAGCATTATTCGTACCGTTTGAATAAAATGAAAAGTGTTTTGTCTCATTCATTTAAGGATTTGGAAGATAAATATTGATCAAGTTTAATCCCAATTGTCTGCCTTAATGTCAAAAAACCCATTTGTTTAACTGATATTTCATTATCAAAAGCGTTCACGCGCAAACGTTTAAAGAAGTTATTCCTCATAAAGTAAAAAGAGACAGTAAAGTAGGTCCGATATTGTAAAAGATAACAAAAACATGTCATCTGACTTTAAATTCAACGAATTCTTATGGTTGTTCTGATATATTTACCTAAATATATACATGTGGTACAAAGTGAAATTCGTCATTATCAGAAATTATAGATCCGTTTTTACTTTTATCTCGCTCTGAAATAATTGCCATAAGGATTTTGAAATTAGGTTATTTAGCTTGGACACATCGTGGTTATTTTTAGGATGTTGCTCGTATTGAAACATTGAAACTAGATGAATAGTTCGGGTTCATTTCACGTGTACGAATAAGAGTAAACTAAAACCAGAGTCAGATGAACTGGTTATTTTAAACTGAGTTGTATACTTCAATGGAATATTATAACATAAGTGTGGGTTATTAATAAGAACGTAACATATTCTTTAAACAATTGGTTTCCTTGTTTGGGGAAACCGGGAGAGGTTTTGTACGGTTAGTTCAGTAACCATGTCAGATGTTTAGAAGGACTGCATCTTATTACTAACTTCTGAACCGAATAGTGAGATTCGAACCTGATATTGCTTGTAATGCAAATGCATTATCCTAATGGATTTTATATAAGATGAGTAATATTAGTTGGTGTTATTTCTCGTTTAGATCAAATTTTACACATATACGACAGGTTACTAAATTCTTTTTAGCTATATTATCTGTTTTATTTCTATTCTACCATTTCTATTCTACATAACTTTTTGTTGTCTTACAAAGTTATCATGAAATAATACCTGCTTTAATATGTGTTAATTTCACTTTCGTTAAAGTAAACAAATTTATATTTTAGGCAGTTAGCATCATGGGGCTTTAAAATGATATACATAGAATAATCAAATAAGGAGCATAAATGATGGGAATGGTTCATGGTGTTTTGTGACATTGTTTTAGGTTCTAGTAACTGATATTAATATTTCAGTTATCCTGGAGTGTATAACTTACACCCAGCTTGTTTGATTATCTAAAAATAGCTATCATCGGACTATAATTCTAATGCAGAATACAAAAATCTGAATAAAACTTCAATGCTTTTATTGAAAATAATTGCTGTTTAGTTTTCAAATCATCATCCTCAGCAGTCATGGACGTGGCAACTTTCAATAGATTAGTGGATGAAAAATCTATATGGCATTTTTTTTATAAGGGACCTCGATTCTTAGTGAAATAGTATATATTATATAAATATTGCTGCTTATATCAGCAACAAATATATTATCTATTCTTGTGAAGCAAAGATGAATATGCAAAGTGATTCCTCTTTTCAGAGACCTGTTAATGACAAAACTTTGGGCTATATCGATTTGTATCTATCAAATTAGTTCTGCATATAATCCAGATTATGTCAGCCATAAAGAACAGTTCACTTTTTTTAACATACTTCTAGGCATTGTGCTGACTGATTTTCCAAAAGTACGTGCGATTCAGTTGACAGCTCTACCATTGAACACTTTATTAATTTTTCTATAAAAACTTGATCTTTGTATTAAAGGTTGACGTACCTAATCAAGCCATCATAAGGCATTTAATCACAATAATAATCATTTTTAAAAGGGGTTTCATCGCAATTATGCTAATTTGTGGGTGATATTCGTCAAGAATCGTTCTTAGTTGATATACTGTTTTGGTTCTATTCTACAGGAAACTTACTACTGTAATAAAACAACGATAAAATACATTTAAAACGGGCTGAAAAACAATCAAATATTAGATTGTGTAAAGTAAATTTTTCTTTGTTCTTTGTGAAAACCGAAAGTCTTGCGTTTGATATCTAACGGGATCATAAGTAAACGCTTCTGAGGACCCTTATATTTGAATAGGATGGATTTCTCTCACCAACTGATTCTAATAGTACCTCAAATGACTTCAATTCACACACAAGTAGTCCGTTTTCGATTCTTTGTGATAACTGAACTTTTATTATATAATTCTCATTATTATTCTCTGCAATCTCATTTAACGCATTATTTACATATCTTTAAAATGAACTTTATATTTGTGACTCGTTGTTTACATACACTAATAAAACACTAATTAAGAAACTATAATCTAGGTAAATAAACAGTTAACTAATATAAATACCTCAAACGTAGTTAAGGTTAATCATTTCAGATTTTATCAATATTTCTGTTCAAATTATAGTACTGAAATACAAGAAAATCGTCAAGCGAAAATAAAATTAATACACTTTGCAGTCTCCTTTTAATAGCTAAATAAACTGATTTAATAATAATGTAAAAAATGTGGGAATAGTCAGATGTAAGACGTTTATTTAAGTGATCACTATAAAGTGAAGTGAATTTCAAACTTGTCTACAGATAGGTAAGCAGTAGAAGGTTACTTTAACATGAAGACATAACAAAATCTACCTCAAGCTAAAAAGCAAAATAATTTATTCAAGTTTGCCTTAGGGTATATAAGTGTTCAAATTTATTTTTTTATACAAACATTTGTTAATAATGTGGAGATTAAATACTTTTAATTCGTTTTTATATTGTTTGTTCGAATCTTCCTGGATTCATCTGAAAACCGTCATCCATCTTTGCTTACTATGTGCTTTTGCTAATTTAAGAAAAATGATATCAACACTGATTCACGTTAATCGAATTGTACTTAAAACTAAAATCTCTATAAAATTTATTGATAAAGGTGAAGTTTGAAAATTATTTGTTTTAACAAAATATACTCAGTTTAGGGGTTGTGGAGATTGTTAAGTTTTTGATTGGAATCATGAATCGATTGATGTTAGAACACCTTTGGAAACCTGGAAGCACTGGACGACCGTTTCGTCCTATTGTGGGACTCCTCAGCAGTGCGCATCCACGATTCCGCTCGCGAGATTCAAACCCAGGGCCTTCAGTCTTGCGCGTGAACGCTTAACCTACTGGACCATTGAACCGGCAAACAATGGTGTTAATGTCTAACCTAAACTAATCCACGAAGTTGCGTGACCATCTTCCATTGTACTGGGGTAGACACCTGTTTCTACCCGACACGGATTAGTCTACTAATCACGGCTTCTCACCAAGACTCCGAGAATTTTCTCATGAAGCTAGTCACTAGTAGGTGGAAAAAAGGCTCAGTGGTCCTGTGGGTTAGGCGTTCGCACACGGGACTGAAGGCCCTGGGTTCGAATCCCTCGAGTAGGATCGGAGATGTGCATTGCTGAGGAGTCCCACAAAAGGGCGAAACGGTCGTCCATTGCTCCCAGGTTTTCAATGGTGGTCTAACATCAATCGGTTCATGATCTCAATCAAAAAATATTTTCGTTAGCACGATGAATACATTTTTCTATGCTTTATCATGTGTGGTCACAAAATAACAAGAACTGCATGTGTATTCTGTTTATTTTCTCTAATATATTTTGAAAATGCAAAAAACGGAAATATCTATAAGTATTGGATCTATTATTGCCAGAGAATCAACCAGTGGATGTACAAATCTATATTAATTCCGGAATTATTTAACTACAGCAACATTCCTAATGACAATCAGAGCTGCGAAATTATATGGTGCATGAACAAAACTGACTTGAGAAACTATTTTTGAAAGATTTAGACAGAGATGAATGATAGCTAGCACTGAAATCCAGGACATTTGCGCTAGATTTACTTGTATTCCGAAGTTAACTCTCAATTCGAGAATCGAACATAATATTGTTTATTTGAAGCATCATTGCTTTATCTACCTAACCGCTGAGTCCAGATTGCCACTGACTTGTACAACAGGGTGAACTTTAATTTATTTATTGGTTGTCTGAGTATCTCTACTGATGTTCGGGACTGAAATTGATCGGTCTCTTTTTGGCTATGTGCATTCCGTGAGAATCATTTGTGCTACCAAGTTATCGCTATGGTTCTATCATATTAATTGGTCACATGATTCAGTGCGATTTCATTACCTTCATCTTCAATTCATGATAGGGCTTATAATGTTATACATCAAATCCATCTAGAATATACAAAAAATGTCAAAAGCTCTAATGTAAATAAATTTCATTACTTAGTTTTCTTACGTACTCTCATTCAGGAAAGTAACATAGTAAACTGGTTGCATTCAATAATAAAGTTTCTTTACAAGCAGACCTTAGGTTTTTGTTTCTCATGTACTGACAACAATAACAGCTGTCGATATATTCATCGACTTAATAAATACTGGGATGAGGTAAGTTGTATTTTCAAAAATTTGTTTGTCCTTAATCATAGTTAACTGAATAAGTATCATCTAAAGAACACATGATATGTTAAAGCTGTCAGTGGAAAAATATAATATTAAACAATTTTATAATGGTTGAATAGAAAGTATATCTAAGAAACATATATAATGATGTCTCATGTGTTCCTCAGCTTCTACGAGCACAATCATTCGAAGTTCAAAGCTGAGCGCACATTTATAAATCCAAGCACAGTGGATTTCAACCGTGTCGGGTTTGAGGCAGTTATCCACCGAAGACAACAGATGGTCACGTAATGTCGTCGATTAGTTGTAGCTGGACAGTAACATCTTTGATTGGTTTAGAGGTCTAGCGTTTGCGACCGTGTAGGGGATAACGGATGCTCACTGTGGAAGAGTTCTATACTAGGACCAAACTGCCGTTCAATATTTCCTTGTTTCCAGTAGTGATACCGCATTGATCTTAATAAAAAGTCAACAATCTCCATAAATCTATATTGATAACTTCTTATTTCATAACAGACTTTCGTGTGTAAAGTGAATATAAATACGAATATATAACTTTAAAGAATGATATCGTCGAAAAAACGTTTTCTTCCCCGAATACTGTTCATATTCATAATATCTTTACTAATGAAAAGTATTCGTGATCATATAGTGTTCATTACTATTATTGTATAATGAAAAGTAAAATACACAGACGTCTTTGAAATTCATCTCATATTTATATCATCATTTCAACCTGGTCAATAAAATTTAACATATTTTCAACAATTCTATTTGTTTTAATTACTCTTTACTACCAGTTCGAATTTCATAAATTTACAAAGATCAACCATAAATATTAGATTAAACTCAAACCAAATATACCAAAATATTCTTTTTATAGTATTATAATTAAGAATAAATTGACAGAATTATACAAAGCACATTGGAGATCCAAATGTTATAATGATGAAGTTTTTATAGGACGATTTTTTTAAAACCATCTACGTATAAATGAGATATCATTATACAGATACATAGATAGGTATACATATTTTATGAAACAATAAAGTTCGACTTATCTGATTGTAATCTCTTTAGGTCTTCATGAATTTCTCATGATTGAGACACATAATCAATCAATCCCATAAAACAATAGCAAAAAATGTTTTCTTAGTCGTACAGATTTAGTAGATAAACTAAATGTCATTCTTAAGTGATAATGAATTTTTTCTTAAATGTTTTAATATAGTAAGCTGTTTTTTTAATTCCATCTAAAGAATTTATGAATGAATCAACCAGGTATAAGATAACAGGTCTTGGATTTCGACATGAAATTCACTTATCCACTTGGCTAAATAGATTCTTAGCATTATAAATGATTTTAGTTTGTGGATGAAAACCCTAAATCTAATTCTTAAACTTAACCATCAACTGTAAATCATAATTCGAATTCCTTACACTAATTTATAACACTCATTTGGTCATAGTTATCTTGTGGACGCACTCAGGGTCACTTTAGCGTCGCTTAAAGGTCGCCGATCGATGTTAGACCACTAATAAAAACCTGGAAGTACTGAACGGCAGTTTCGTTTTATTGTTGGACTCCTCAGCAGTGAGCATTCACGATCCCGCTCGCGGGATTCAAACCCAACTCTGTCCAGTGCTTCAACATTTTCAGTGGTGATCCAATATCAATCGGTTCATGATCTCAAACAAAAACTTAATAATCTCTACAATCCCATACTGAAAATAATACTAAATTGAATTATATTAGTTCTCTTATGAATAGGTCATATTTTCTTCAACGACCATACATTGATAGTATCGATGTTTATCATTTTATTATAATAATATATATAGTAAACTGAATTTTAGATTTTTGTTGAAATGAAAAAAAGAACATATTAATTTTTCGTCGCTAACTAATTTACATATAAATTACTAAATATTCTAAGGTGAATATTTCTTGTACCTAAAATATCTTAATTTGGAATCCGAGATTTAGAAAAAAATAAATTTAAGAAAATTATATATATATATATATATAGTTGTTGAAGTAACGTGAATTGTTAGGATGTCAGTAGTATCTGATAATCAGTTAAAACATTAGTTCTGAGTGAATGGTATGATCAATATAGACATTATTCTTTGCTGGGTAGTGAAGCCCGAATAAAATAACGCGGTTATGATTTTAGTAGAAATATTGTTCTATGGTAAATTTAACCATATAACTTATAAAACAAGCAGAAGGTAATAGAAATGTATAGAAAAATAAATACTAGTCTGGCAAAATAATAGATAAATTGGTATGTGCTTGCAGTAAATTCTATTTTTCTTTGTCCAATAAAGTTTCTTCCTAACATGATGTTAAGTAGTAGAATAACAATGCTAAAAAATACTAGACCGGAGTTTCATATTACATTTTATTAGTTAGAAGGATGTATCTTTAACCCTGAGATTGCAATCTATATCTTGCTGCTCAACTAGATGAGTTGTTGTGATCGATTCTTAGTTTATGAATTTATAGTATCATTATGCGGTTGTTTTAATATAGATAACTAATTACATATCCTGTTCACTATATGCATTATTTGTTCAGAAAAATCTTTGGATTGGAAAAGCAATCAAGAAGAAAGAATCATATTATAATATAGAATAGATAAAGTGTAACTAGCTATGGAATCCAAGACAGGCTTCCTGTCCTATTTGGGACTCATCAGTTGGATGTACCTAGATTGTATGTTCACTGCGGGACTCAAACCCAGTACTGTTTACTTCAAATGCTATCGCGTTATCCACTTACCTACTGAGTCGAACAAAGGGATAATTCAAATCATTCCAAACTGAATAAAATCATTTTATAATTTTATGTACTGAAGTCATAAAATAAGGTGTTTTCTCTTGTAAAATTAGACAACATATGTGTATTTGTACTGCAAAAAGTTTACAAAGGAATATTATGACAAGATACATTGTTCTGAAGAAAAACTTTTGTAGAAGAAATACGATTTGGGAAATAAACTTTCTGTAACTCTTTTGGGTTACTGTATGTTTATTGATGGACATAATCAACAGAAACTTGAAAATATGTGGAAGGGACCGTCAGTAAATAAAAAGCTTAATTTCACGTAACTTTAGTGAATTAACGTAAAACTCTCAAGTATCATTCAAATAAATACGTGAAAGCCCAAAAATAACCAATCTCAATTGTAATGAATGAAACGCTTGCTATAAAATGTGCAGTGAATGATCTGATGTTGTTTTACGAGATTCCAAAAAGGATTTGAAAATTTACAGTTGAAGTCATGTCAGATACATGATCAACTTTTTCATCTTTTGAAGGATATTTACCCACTCATATGAACTTTATTCCAAATGCATTATTCAAAAATTTATATTGAAATTTTTAATTGCCTATTTTTATTACAATTTAAAAATCAATATTTTCGATCTCATTTTTTCATGAGCAGGTGGAAACAGTATTTCCTAGTTTGCCTTCGGAGTAATATTCTACAAGTATTAATGTCTTTATTAGTATTACTTGATGCTGGAATTGTAATCAGTGAAATAGTTTTGGAAATACAATCACTTCAAAGTAAGTTAAACAGTATTATAATCGATATATATATATATCATCCAAACTATTCATGGAATGTTAATAGTTATGATAATAAAACTTTATCCTTTCCGATCATAATCTAGAGCATTCATATAATTAGGTAAATTTTATTTTTTTCCGGTATATAAGGCTGTTGCAATAGACTTGTAGTCAGTTTTAAGTATTGCACGTAGTTTTCTACTGAAAATGACACTTAATTGACACTTAATATTAATGTGTATTAAAATGAAACTTGATTGTCAGTTTTAAATATAAATCCTATACAATCAAGTTCAATTGCCACTTTCATAGTACTGAATTTTTCTCTGATAACATTTCTTGTCTTTTAGTCTTAAAATAATTCAGGAAATTTTCTTTCGTACTCAACTGTTTTAATTTTCTGAATAAATTATCAAAAACTGATGTAAATTTATTTCTTAGAACTCACAATTAAATCAGTAAATACGTTTTTTTATAAAACTAGTGGTTAGAGATGATAGGGGGTAATATGGGAAGTACACTTCACTTATTACCTAGATTACTTGATAGCAATCTATGATACTGAGAGGACGCCCCACGGATGAACTTGATGAAGCTCTAAGAAGCTCAGAAAGAGCCTAAGATATTCCATCCAATCATCTTTTGGAAGAATATTCCAGAATCAATACATGTAGCTTCCCTATTGGACAAACGCTAAAAACCCACTGTATGAGGATTGGAGGACTATAATGATGATTTCGTTTTTACTAAAAACTATAAATACCTGACAGTTTTGTACCATAATTGACACTGTTTGGAATAGCATCCCTTTCGCTTGTTTTCTGTCTTCTCATTTGTGACTCGAGAGTGTTCTAGCGTTCGAGTGCTTAAGTTATACGCGGTATATTAGGAATCTAAGTTTTAGATATACCGGGTATAATGTCTCTCTTAGCAATTATTCAATTATAAGATCATAATAAATATACAAATCTTAAATAAAATGAAACGCGTGTCCTGGGTTCTACTAACAGCCACATTCCGTCTATTTCATATGAAATGTAAACAATGTATTTTTTATTTATCATTACAATATATCTGATTGTTGGTCAATGAATAATTGACAAATGAGTATCATATATGTTCGACATGGTGTATTTTTTAATAGTTTGATTTTAGGTATCACTACTAAAATATCAAATGAAATTTTCCATTTTAAAGATGTATATGCATTACATTGTATGCCTTCTTGTTCTATACGTACTTCCCTTAGAATTTTCCTAATGTTACAATTAGTTTCCCTCACTTATCTCCTTATTATAATTTTCTAGCGTACAAAAGTAATTTTCGCACACAGCTTGAAGAATTTCGTGATATTATATGCACTGTTATGTATAGAACTGCACCTGAAATGGAACTTCCTTTTCAATGTTATTCAGATGAACGGGAACTGCATTTCAGAAAATCTAGTAATAAACTAAATTTCACATATTATAACAAAGTTATGCAAAATCAAACTTCTCCAGTTGAACATGCGAGTCAAGTAAAAATCTATACTGAAGAATCAAATTTTACAAATCCAAGTCCTAGAATACAGAACACACATCATTTTCATCTCAACAATCACCTCGAGAAAGATGATGAATTATTGATGGATATGTGTAGCTTCCTTTCTCACTGGTACCAAAAGTACGAACCATCTATAAAATGTTTTTTGAGTAGTGGTAAGTAATGAAAAAAACCAAGAACATTTTTTATACTTAACGCTTCATTTCAACTTAAAATATGGGATCATTCCAGTTTATAGAGATAAGATCTCACAAAAACAAAAAAATTAATATTAAGTAGTACGTAACAAAATCACTCGCCTAGGTGACCAAAGACATAACTCTGTGATCAAGTTATGTTTGTAACCTTGAAACTGTTGAATGATGGCGACAGGAAATGCTGCGATTTTGAACCAAACCAAATGGGAAGATAAAATCTGATAAAGCAAGATCTCAACTTTTCGTCCATTCTGTCATTTGTCAAAAGAACACAGACAACAATTTTTAGGAAAATGTGAATATTGTGGAACGTGTATTCGAAAAATTGAAAAATATATCCATTTGCAAATATAATAGCTTCTAAGAAATCTGATTGGTCAGTTTCCAGTTTCCTTACATGTCCTCATATTAAACTTATGCTTCAGGAACAGAATCAGTGGTCTACAAGTGGTAAATGAAAAGTAGATAAAATTTGACTTCAGATGAAGTAAATTCAACCCGACCGACTGGCTATACGTTTTTTAAAGTGTTCAAAAACGTCGTAGCTTGTGTAGTTCTTTGTAATATTCTTAGATATGAACTAATTGAGCACAGCATTCTCGACAAACTATATTTTTGTCACTTTCATTCCAAATATTTGAACGAACATTCTTTACCAAAATTAAATATTCCTCCCACCTAAGAGGCTAACAGCTGTAGGGTTTATATTACAATTACTTTGAGATATCTTTTAATATTAACCAGCTTTGATACCAGATATGTATTTTTCACCATTACACGTCTAACCGGTGGGTTTTATAAGATATGAAGAACGATACACGTACGTCGCTAAAAAATCACGATCTGTGTATCTACTTTAATATAATACTTACCTTTGCCTTTGAACTAGCAATCATCTGTCTTGTGCATGGACGCTTAACCTCTAGACCGAAGACCCTGGGTTCTGGTCCATCGTGTGAGAACATGGATGCACTCTGTTGATGTGTCCCATACTAGAACTAAACGGCCTTCCAATGCTTTCAGGTTTTTAAATGGGGATCTGGCTTAGTTCGACTGATGAATTCGACTATTGAAGTCAATGTAGACATGAACCGATACCTGATATGATAACGCTTTAATAATAATAATTTATAATGAAAAGTTAGTTATTTGATCTGAAGTGCGTTGTGACTGAGGCATATGTAGAGGTCGTTGTTTCATTTTTATTGAAACTCAGTGAGTCATTATAGATAAGACTATAGTTAATCACATCTTGATCGTTGAGTTCACCATAGGATCTCAAAATAGAATGAAACAAGTTGATTATGTTGAAGTGTTTATATAAAAAAATGAAAACAAGGGTTCAAATAGTGTTGTTTTATTTTTTAAGCAGTGATGGAAGGTAGTTAACAGTGAAATATAGTACGCGTGTTCCTCCTTATTTAAGACATGTACAATTCTAAACATCAATGTGAAAATTCAAATAATCAATTTGTAAATATAAATTGATATATTATCATTAACGATATTCAACGCCGATCGATGCAATAATAAATCGCTTCACCGAATTATTTTAAAGAAGCTTAGTAAATAATTAAAAACTGATACCATCAATTAATGTCTAGAATTGATCTATAATTTATAGAACAATGTTATTTTTTATGGAGTTTTCTCTTTTTTCTTTCCCCTTTTCTATTATAGAGATGAATAATATCATTCGGCGTATATTTTCAAATTTAATGCCAAACAATGTCACACTAAATTTAACTGAAACAAATAATCATGCAACTATCTATGTAAATGATAAACCAAGAATTTTTCAATCAGGAAGTCAAACAGATTTACATACTATAATCCCATTTTTGTTTTCTACTATAAATAGTACTAATTTTTATGAACATACAAATGGAAATGAATTAATTTCTCATGATGATAATGTACATAATGAAGGATTTTGTGGAGATTCATACTTAAAAAGACGTCAGCTCGGCGCAAGAGCAATGCATGAAGCTTCAGAAATTTTGCATTATTTAAGCATTGCTATCACAGCCTTATTCTTTTTGTGTGTAATATTGAAATTAATTTGTATTGGGAAGGAGTTTTTTCGAGATACAAATGAAGTAAGTCTATTCATTAGATATTTAAAATGTTTTCTAATTACTTGATTCTTATGTTGTTGAATTTACGTTAATACATTCTTGTTATGCAATTTAACTTCTTACATAAGTGAAAAACTAAAGTTTATATTTTACTATCTAACAGCAAACTATACCCATTTAAGATTAATCAAATAATAAGCAAATTAATCTGAATTCTCATATTGTAGATAATTTAAATCCTATCATTCGACTAGGATCATTAGTCAAATGATGTTTATAAAAGCCCCATTATCTCAATAGACTAATAACTAGTTAGTCTATTTATCCAACTTTACATCACAAGTTAAAAATATGATAATCATCATTCTGAGTATGCTAAGTTACGGTAATTGGTTGGCAATATTTCTTTTTATATATGAAAACAAATATTACTCTTAATCATATTGTTGTTAATAATTTCAGTTTACCGATTGATCAGTAACATTATGTTGATTAGATGAAGTAAAATTAACTATATGTTTGACTGAATGTTATTGTATTTAGGGTGAAATGAGTGATACATTGATTTATACAGATAACAATTACAAAAAAGGTATCTATCTAGTTCATTAACATGTTCTTATCCTACTATAAATTTAAAAAAGACAATGATGTTAGTGTGATAGCAATGTTTTCCAGGAGGTGTTACTATTTAATTTAATTACAAAATATGAATAAAATAACATAGCATGTCATATTACGCAAGTAAGATGTTAGTTTTATGAAGCTTTTCATTTATGTGAAAATCAATGTTGATAAATCTTTTTCATGCCGATAATTCATACAGTTATGTATAAAATAATATATTTGTAATATCCTAATGGGTAGAAAAACCAAATTTTCTGACGTTTCGTGACTCAGTGTAAGTTACTTCTTCAGAGAATAAATAACTAAATCAAAATTACTTACTTACTTACGCCTGTTACTCTCAATGGAGCATAGGCCGCTGACCAGCATTCTCCAACCCACTCTGTCCTCTGCCTTTTCTAGTTCCATCCAATTCTTGTTCATTTTTCTCATGTCTATCTCCATTTCTCGGCGTAATGTGTTCTTTGGTCTTCCTCTTTCCCTTTGGCCTTCAGGATTCCATGTGAGGGCTTGTCTTGTGACGCAGTTGGGTGCTTTCCTCAATTTGTGTCCTATCCACTTCCATCGCTTCTTCCTGATTTCTTCCTCCACTGGGATCTGGTTTGTTCTCTCCCACAGTTGGTTGTTGCTAATAGTGTCCGGCCAATGGATCTGAAGTATTTTGCGTAGACAATTGTTAATAAACACTTATATCTTCTGGATGATGGCTTTCATAGTTCTCCAGGTTTTCCACCCCATACAATAGAACTGTCTTGACATTTGTATTGAAAATCCTGACCTTGGTGTTGGTTGGCAGTTGCTTTGAGTTCCAGATGTTCTTCAATTGTAAATATGCTGCTCTTGCTTTGCCGATCCGCGCCTTCACATCTGCATCAGACCCACCATGTTCATCAATGATGCTGCCCAAATATGTAAAGGCTTTTACATCTTCCAAATCTTCTCCGTCAATTGTGATTGGATTGGCGCATTCTGTGTTGTATCGGAGAATCTTGCCTTTCCCTTTGTGTATATTGAGACCTGCTGCTGCTGAGGCTGCTGCCACACTGTTCGTCTTCTCCTGCATTTGTTGTTGCGTTTGGGATAGAAGGGCCAGATCGTCTGCGAAGTCTAGATCGTCCAACTGCATCCTAGATGTCAACTGTATCCCGTACTTCCCTTCAGAAGTTGACGTCTTCATGATCCAGTCGATCACCAGGAGAAAGAGAAAGGGTGAGAGTAATCAAATTTGCCTGATACCGTTCTTCACTTCGAACGACTTTGCCAACTGTCCTCCATGCACGATTTTGGAGTTTAATCCATCATATGAGTTCTGTATGATATTGACTATCTTCTGAGGCACGCCGTAGTGTCGAAGAAGTTTCCATATTGTTGTTCTGTCCACACTATCAAATGCCTTTTCGTAGTCAATGAAGTTGATGTAGAGTGATGAATTCCATTCAATTGATTGTTCCACAATGATCCGTAGAGTTGCGATTTAGTTTGTACACGATCTATCCTTACGGAATCCTGCCTGTTGGTCACGAAGTTGGGCGTCTACACAGTCCTTCATCCTGTTTAACAATACCCTGTTGAAGACTTTTCCCGGTATTGAGAGAAGAGTGGTGCCCCTGTAGTTATCACACTTGCTGAGATCGCCTTTCTTCGGTATTTTGATCAGAAGTCCTTCTTTCCAGTCTTTTCGTACTTGTTCCTCATCCCCAATCTTATTGAAGAGAATGTGGGGTATCCTTGCAGTTGCCGCTACGTCTGCTTTCAGTGCCTCTGCTGGGATGTTGTCCGGTCCTGCTGCTTTGCCACTCTTGATTTGTCTGATGGCCATGCTGATTTCTTCAATTGTTGGTGGGCCAACATCGATTGGGATGTCTGTGGGTGCTGCTTCGATGGTGGGTGGGTTCAGTGGAGCTGGTCGATTCAGAAGTTTTTTGAAGTGTTCTACTCACCTGTTTTGTTGCTCTTCAATGTCGGTGATTACCTCGCCTTCCTTGCTTTTCACTGGTCGTTCTGGTTTGCGGCGATTTCCAGAGATTTTCTTTGTGGTGTCATACAATTGTCTCATGTTTCCTTCTCTTGCAGCCTTTTCCGCCGTCGTTGCTAAATCTTCCACATATTTACGTTTGTCGGTTCTGATGCTCCTCTTTGCTTGTTTGTTTACTTCTGTGTATTCAGCTTGTGCCTTGGCTTTTTCTGCTCTTGTTCGACTGGTATTGATTGCTGCCTTCTTATTCCTTCTTTCTTGAATCTTATCCAGTGTATCAACAGTGATCCATTCCTTGTGATGGTGCTTCTTGTGACCCAGGACCTCATGACATGTTGAAGTGATTGCCTCTTTGATCCCCTTCCAGTTGCTCTCCACAGTAGTTCCTTCTCCATTGAGTAGATCATGAAAGGCCTGGAACTTGTTGCTGAGGACTATCTTGAATTCGTTGAGTTTGTTAGTATCCTGAAGAAAGGCCGTATTGAACTTTTGTGATATTGTCCGCCCCGTTGTCCAGTACTTCTTGAGTTTCAATTTCATCTTAGTGACCAGCAAGTGATGATCTGATGCTATATCAGCTCCTCTCTTGGTTCTCACGTCTTCTATAGTCCTCTTGAACGTTTTGTTGATGCAGATATGGTCGATTTGGTTTTGTGTTGTGTGATCCGGTGAAGTCCATGTGGTTTTGTGTATGCGTTTATGTGGGAATATGGTGCCGCCTATGACCAGTTTATTGAAGGCACATAGGTTTGCCAATCCCTCACCATTTTCGTTCCTTTCTCCCAGTCCGTGCCGTCCCGTGATGTCTTCATATCCAGCGTTGTCCCTTCTAACCTTGACATTGAAATCTCCCATCAGAATGGTCAGGTCCTTCGTTGTGCACTTCTCGACGATTGACTGCAGCCTATTGTAGAATCGATCTTTAGCGTCTTCATCGTAGTCGTTCGTGAGCGCATAGCATTGGATAATGTACATTGTAATGCCCGCTTTCTGTGTTTTGAAGGAGGCTTTGATGATCCTTGGTCCATGAGATTCCCATCCTATAAGTGCATTTTGTGCTTGTTTTGATAGCATCAATGCAACTCCTTGTGTATGCGGAGCATTTTCTTCTTTATGGCCGGAGTATAACAGAAGTTCTCCTGAAGTTAGTCGTTGTTGTCCAACTTTCGTCCAATGTGTTTCACTGATCCCAAGCACCTTTAGATTGTATGTCCTCATTGTTGCAGCAATTTGGAAGGCTCTCCCAGTGTCCCACATTGTACGAACATTCCATGTACCTAAATAAATGGTTGCTCTGGTTGTCAAAAGGGGCATCGGCCTCGTAACTTCCGAAGGAATTCGGCTTTCGTCATGAGGCGTCATAGTTCTTCTAAATGAAGACCTTCCGATTCCCAGGGCGGAGTTTAAAATGTTTGAACAATTTTTTCTGGTTAGCGTTGTTTTAGCGAGTTAGTTTTCTACGGGATGGGGACGCTAACCCCATGCCCAACCCTCCTCATTTATCCGGGCTTGGGACCGGCAGTAGCCCCCGGAGGGACTCCAGGCGGAGTTAAATCAAAATTAGTCCAAGTTTATATAGTACAAAAGAACGACACATGACTATTATGTGCGATCAATCAAAAGACAAGTCTAAACAAATGAATGTCATGTCATTTCTGTCAAGGTAAACCGGTTAAACAATAAAAACCCAGCTAAAATAAATACTCAGTATTGTTCATTTGATATTAATGAACAATTATAAAATGATAATAAGAGTTAAATTGATATTTTCAAAGATATATTCTAAAAAATAATACAATAAAACAATAAATTTCTAACTAATATGGCACATCATAGGTTTCAACTTCTTAATGAAAGCTAAAATTCATGACAGATCGAAATTATGACAACCGGGTAAATGTGTATTTACTTACTATATGTTATTACTATATTGAACTGAAAAAAAGTTAGGCACTCAACAGATAATTTAAAACAGTGAATAGTATATATATATATGCTCTGGATTAAAATCCAGTTGATTAATGAAGTCACAAAGGTGAAATAGTTCATTTGGATTGATTACTTTTAGTATGATATCGCCGTTGTGTTATATTACGTCTTCAGGAATACTTTATGCATGATTGCTATTTTATGAATTTCAGTTAACATTTTTTAAAAATTACAAAAATCTCTTTTAACATCAGTCATTCTATTGAATTCTCTTCTCTAGTTCCATAATAGTTTCCTTAATGTTTTGTTATGTTCACTTACTGTTGCTTAATATTATTTAAAAATAGTGGATTTCAAATATAATATTCACTCAAAAATATCAAATTCAACCGAGAAGAATCTTATCCAAAGGGTCATCACCTGAAAATTAGTGAGTTACAATATACGTCACCCGTATATCTTCCAAAAACAGTTCCACAGTTTTCTCAAA